TTTTTCTTTTTTTGGTTTTTGGTTTTTCTCCGGTACCGGGAACCGAACTCACGACCTTGCACTTGCCAGGCAGGCACTTTTGCCGCTGAGCTAAATCCCCAGCCCCAGCTTACGGCTTTTAAAAGAATGAGGACTGGATAAAAAAATTGCGGTACTTTTATATGATGGAATATTACTCAGCTATAAAGAAAGATAAACTCGAGGCTTTTACAGGTAAATGGTCACAACTAGAGACCATACTCAGAAGTGAAATAAACCAGACCTCCATGTGTAAGCAACGTATTATCTCACTAGTGTAAGAATCTGAAAGAGTGAATAAAAACTAGGAGGTATGACAACCATTGTGAAATGAAAGGAAAATGCTCAAAAGTAAAGAGCAACTAGGGTGAGGGAAAAGAGAAAAGAAAGAAGGGGAAATTATGTATGTATATATATATATATGTATATACAGGATAGCTAACATAGTTGTACTACTGACTTCTATTGCTTTACCAAAAGGAACAGTTGATTAACTATTTGATCAATCTTGCATGTCTCTATTTGTTTTCCTGAGAAACTACTTTGAAGATATCAGTACGTAAAACAGCAACCATGGTTATTTTCCTACCATTTTGTCTGTAATTCTGTATTGCTTTTATTGTTCTTATTCTATTTTGTAAATGGATGTCTGTTTGTTAATATGTTTTCCTTTTATTTTTAAAATAAATTGAAAAAAATAAAAAAAATTAAAGAATGATGCAACTCATTGATAAATATTTTATTAAAATGTATCAGTTTTTCTCATTATAACAAATATTTGAACATGAAAACATCAGAAAACAAATGAGGTTTTAACAAATATCCATGACAAAATTAAGAGAAATAGAATCATTTATGTTGCAGAAGACTGCCATATGTTATATGCCTTTAAGCATCATTTAACACTTTTTAAAATAGGAAAAATCACTACCTCTTCTCCACTTAAAGAATGAAAATCAAAATTGTGTAAACTACTGGAACAAATCTACATGTAGAATAAAAAGTGTGCCTCAATACATTACTTAAATATACAGAATTTAACAGAGAATAATAGTTATAATGTATAACATTATTTAGACATAAGAAAAATTAACTTTACATCATTATAGTTACATTGAACTCTTTTGTAACCCACAAGTGCTATCAATATGAAGGAAAAATCAAGACAGAGCAAAATACAATTCTAGAAATCTTCCCAATAGTGCTAATTCATTTATTTCTGATATTAAACATTTGATTTCAGTTAAACTCAACATTATTGCAGAACTTGTAAATGATTTTTCTCTCCTTTTTAGGCTTCCCAATACAAATTATCAAAACAAACTGAAGCTTCTCCTTACCACTAAGGGGAATTGAATCCTATTCCTCTTACTCTTTCAGAGCCGATTTCTATGAATAGTAAGTTCTAATTGTTTTGCCTAGTCACTCAGCATTGGCCCTGTGCCTTGTGTATCAACAATTAAGGATCAACTGCTTTTGAACTCAAGATCTGTGAAACAATCGCACCTTATTAATTTGGATTATTTTAACAGATCTAGAACCCCTATCTCTCTGTCCTCTACCCCCTTTAGAAACTTCTTCACTTTCCCTTGACTTACAGTACAATTGTATGGTCAGATTTTTAAACTTTTCTGGGATTGTTCCTTCTGAGAACTCGAGTAATCATACTGAGTCCTTATATTTTTCTTTGAAAACAGCTCTAAAAATCTTTTCAGGAGGATTCAAAAGTCAGATTTTAGATTCAAGCTAATGTATAGTGAAGAAAAAACAAATGAGCTTCCAAACTCAACCACTGTAAAGAAAAGACAAACTGTGATGGGGTAAAGGGGAAAGGAAGAAAGGGAAAAAGAGAAAATATATGTATACACAAGGTAGTTAAGATAGCTAGCTCTTCTTAGTTCCTTGAAAATAATGTGTTGTACTAATATTGTTTAGACAAGATATCATGCCTATATCTTGTACTCTGATTAAATAGTACAAAGACAACAATATGCAAGTATCTACTATTTTAATTAAACTACTAATCTATTTTGAAACTCACTTTCATTGTTTGTTTGCATTCTTCTATTTAAATTTTTAAAAAAAATTGCCAATGACACCAAGAAAACCTAAAATCCAGTCGTGGCGTCTTTAGACCACTCTTAGCACCTCCTCTATGCCTTTGTATTATTTTTTCTAAGTTACTGCATCCATCTTCATGGCTTTATATATATTTCTTATACTGGCCAGTCCTATATTTATACCTAATAATGCCTTCTCTACTCATCTCAAAACTCATATATGTGTTTAATTAATGAATCAATTTGTCTTCTAGACATCTTACAATTAACATGTGCTGAAGAGCCATTTTGATATCCATTCACCAAAGTCTACTGTTTTGCAAGTCTTCACCGTCTCAGGAAACGGTGCTCTAATATCCAGTATATGGCCTAATCCAGAATTGGTGAGTTTTGCCTGCTTTATTCCCCTTCATTTTGCCCATTAGTAATTCCTGCTCCATCTCCGAAATATTCAATGAATTCACCTCATTGTATTTCTAGTGCTTCCACACTAATGTTTAATCAAACATTATATTTCATTTAGAAACCCCAAACTCCATGTAGATTCACGTGAACCACTCAGGCAAAACACCTACCACCCCCTGGATGTCCCTTTCCACATAGAAATCACAGCGTTCCTCTGAAGAACAAAGTCTTCTGTTGTGTTCACACTATGGTTAGCGGAAATTTTTCCTGCGCTCTCACCTATACAACCTTTAATGATCTGGAGCCTGTGACTCTGTGCTCATATTGCACCATGCCTTTGCTTTATCATGCTTTCATCGTAGTGGGTTTTTCTCATTTTATGATACTAATGTTCATAGTTGTTCACTTTGCCTATATTCTAATTATTTTAGAACATCACAATTCTCAGTCATGAAAATTATACTTTTTTTTTTTTTTTTTTTTTTGGTTTTTCTCCGGTACCGGGAACCGAACTCACGACCTTGCGCTTGCCAGGCAGGCGCTTTTGCCGCTGAGCTAAATCCCCAGCCCCGAAAATTATACATTCTACCCCTCCATTTTATGTTTCCATTTTAATAGACTGGGTTTTAGAGAAGTTTTATGTTCAAAGGAGATTTTTCTGGAGTTTTCGTTTCATAGCATGTTATAGCAATGCCACTAATCTTTATATTGATATTTTGTACTAAAATTTTCACATATTATTTCCACGGATGTGTGCTTTTTTCTTTTAGGCTTTATAGTTTTCTATTAATAGTCTCAAGGTGTCAGGAGAGATAACTCCACTCCGCCTTTTTGTATTTGGATACACTTTGCTTTATTGTGTCACTTATTTGTAGTAGAAAGGACTTCCAGAACTCTAAAGAACAGACATAATAACAGTCAGCATTCTTGTTCTGTTCAGCAGTCTTAGGAAAACTCTTTCCTATGCTTGTTGTTTCTTTCATTTGTTTTATGTATTTATTAACTGTTCATGTGCTCTTCTTGTTTTTTTATTGATTCAAATGTATCTATTTTTTAATTTTATGGTCCCTTTATTGCCATTTTGGTACAAGAAAAATTGCCCCAAAAAGGTGATATGTAAGCCTAAAATGAATAAGCAAACAATAAAATGTATTTTCCAAAAAGTTATCATCAGATCAATATTTCTAAATGTATTCTATTAATAAATGCTGCCTTTAAAAGAAATGTCAAAGTAAAATTTCTGACATGTGCCAGAAATTTTTAATGAAGTATTCTCATATTGATCAGAAATATGAGAAGAAATAGAAACACTGAGACCCAAAGTACCATGATTTGTCAAAGTTTTGATCCTTGCTCTATTACTAATACCTGGTTTGTGTCTAGATGTCCTCTAAAGCCTCATGCAGTCATGGGGTGGGCTTCTTGAGTTGATGATTGATTCATGGTCCAATGCTTGGATTATGGGTGTGAGTGCTACACCCTGGGGCAGGTAGTTTGCATATTAATGTAAGGGAGGGAAAGAGGCTGCTTGCTGCTGCTACTCCTCTTGTGCTCTTGTTGCTTTGCTATCTTCCACTGCCATGAACTGTTTCCCTCTACCATGTGCCACTCTGCCTTGGAGCCAGTTGAGTATGGACTGAAACTTTCACAAACTGTGAGCTAAATATACCTTTCCTTCCTTAATTAGGGGCATTGGGTATTTTATCTCAGCAACGATAGAATAGTAACCAAGACATATGGGTTGAGATAAGCTGAGCCTTGGAATTGTTATGTATAAATAAGTACAGCAACACTGTTTAACTCTCAAGAGAAAATGAAATTAGGTTATGTGAAATGCTGCACTGATTAATGATGAATAGCTATGACAGCAATTATAGTAACTAAACAAAAATGTAACTAACATACTTATTTTATTTGGCTCTATGGAAGGAATGGTCCCTTCCACGATGGGACAGGACAGATATTTTCCAAACATGATGCCTGTGATTAGTTACAAAGTTCATATAACATTCATATAATGACTAAAAAGAAAAGTCATCTAATAATTAATTATTAAAGAATCCATAAGTAAAATCAAAACATTTAATTTGTAACCTTTCTTGAATAATTGTTTATTGGTCATATCTTTAATTTTCCTTAAAATTATTATTGACATCATACAGCAGCAAGTTTACCTTTACTATAGATTAAAAGACTCTGACATACTGCTCAACAAAATGATTAAAAATAATCTTGTGTATGTCCAGAATAAGTAAAATTTTCACAATATGGAAATAAATGCAGGAAATGTGACTAAGCTATCTTATTAGGAAAATTACCTCTTTTGGTATTGTATGACAAACAATAATCAAATATATTTTGAAAACTGAAGGTCATCCCCCCTCAAAAATACTTATTGATTAAATCATGTACAACAGAAGGTTAACCAATTGATCCAAACTAAAGAAATAAGAATTCCATAACCATTTTTACCTCATGCCTAATTATTTTGAGCATAATTTCATGTGTATATGAATAATGCTTATGATTCTTATAAAAATTATTTTCTATTTCTCAATCTATTTAAATAACTTGCCATTTGCATGTTAATTTGTGAAATGCTCCTTATTAATGATGCTCCCTTTACTTTACTTTGAGTGGGGACAAAGAAGGGGAAAAGGTGTTCTTCAGCATAAAAATAAGAGAGTAATAACTGTCTCCCTCTAAAATCTCTTCCTCTCTGTAATGTGGTATTGCAATAGATAATGCAGCATCAAAGCTGGTGGGCTGACAGAATGAGAGTGACAGTGTTCTGATGGGCATCTTCCTCAGCTTCACTGAATCAGAATACATTCAAGCTGTTTCCTGTTCAGTTCAGAGAAGAAAATTATTTGTTTATGTTTAAAACTAGACACTGCTCAGGCAAATGTATCTTTCATTGGGTTCTAATTTTCAACTGGAACATATATGAAATTCATTTGACCAGTTTTATCATCATGGAACTTCATTCTCAACCACTTTACTCAAATTAGATTTTATTTTACATAGCATCATTACCTGCATATTTATAGACAGTCAACAGTAAGTAGAATTATTTCATTTTCCATTATATCAGAGGAATTGAAGCTATCTCCTATAAAAGCTTGTAGGAAAAGTTTGGAGGTAAATTTTTAGGCTTTTACACTTACATCTGATTTTTCATAGAAAACACTGACTTATTCCATAGCTACTGGAATTATCTGAAAATGAGTTGCTCTTCAGTTAGATACTAACCTATTGCACTGAATTATAGATTTTTTCAAAGTTGTGTTTTATTTCTAAATTTAAAACTGAAATTCAAAGGGAAATATATAATAACTATTAAAGAAAGGATTTAATTTCAATTCATACAAAATTTGGACTTTTAGATTATTAAAATTAACAGTTAATAGTAAAATAATATACATTTTCTAAATGATAAAAATTATGTCCCTAAATAGAAATCAATTTCCTGATTTTAAGGACGTTTTTCTCATGTGAAATAACAAGCAGCAAAGACGATTGTTTTCCCTGACCTTTCTTTGCCATTTTCACTCTGATAAATTGTACCCAAGCTGAAGGGAGGTGAAACAGCATGCGAGTGCAGGTCAAAGGTAGAGATCTGTGTAAAGCACAATCCCCTTTTCTATAATTCCATCCTATGTTTACAAGTGTACATTTTTAAGAACTATCAATCCCCAGTTTAGGTTTTACATCCTACATTTGTATGTGAAAGGTATTTTCCTCTTTTAATGATTATCTCTCCCTGGAGTAAACCTTAAAGCTTTATACATGAAATACAGATGTTAAGGAATTGCTACTTTTGCTGGTATGTTGATCACAAATGTATAACTAATTCATTGCAAAGTTTTGCAGTGATGTTTAAAGATTTTTCAAATGTGATTAAAATCATAGAATAAATATTCTAATATAGACATTTCTTACCTTAGATATTTATATCTGCTGAAAGAAGCACTTAATAGACAGTCACAAGTTTTAACTGCCCATATGGAAATTAAAAGCGGTCTAATAGATCATTATTTTTTTCTTATATAAAATTCTATAAACACTCCCCAATTTGGCTTGTCTATCAATTATATTATTTTCAAGAATTTTGGGCTTGATTTACTTTCTTCACTCTGTGAATGTATCTTTCAGTCTAACAATGTCAGTATCACAGAGCAAAAGAATAATAGTTGAAAACTGAGTGCCATGAAATATGAAAACAGCTGAGATTATTATGGAGCAATTTTGTTTTATGCAAGTGAGAACAAATACATTATTATCTTATACCCAAAGTAGGATGTGAGCTGATTTTTTGAAATTGTATAAACTCTTAGACATTATCTAGTTTTCTTTAATGTCAAAAAACACGATCATAAAAATTATAAAACAGAAAGAGATATTACTATTTTGTACTTAACACAGTACTTTAGTCCTGTGTTTACACAGTGATAAAAATGCCATTTCTTGATCATATAGATAGGAAGACTTCCAATTATGTCCAAGATTTTTTTGCATGCAATTCATTACTGTCATTTCTACTCGATTCCCATTTTATAATTTACATTCTACTGTAGAGATAAACATCTAGAGATTAATATGTCCCTTTCCAGTAATTATTCAGCCTCTTTAAACTGCTTTTACTCATGAACTCTTTCTTTCAGAGGGCCAAAAGTGATCCCAATATATGTCTTCAGTAACTTCCCCATTACAGGATAGATGCTGGATAGTTAACAAAGGTTACTTTAGAAAAACAAATTGATGACAGATATATACTCTCATTCTGTATTATCTTTTTACTCTGTTCTTTCCTCTTTTGTGCAGAAGCTTTGTAGTTTCATGCAGCACCATTTTTTTCCTGTTTTGTTTTTTATATTTTTGTTGGCATATCTAAAAATATCAATTCATAGGGAAAAATCATTAAACCTCATATATTGTTCTAGGTGTTTCTGTGATCACATATTGTGTTATTTGATTT